CATTTGTTCAAAGATGTTCTTCAACATCGAGTCGTTCAGATAACCTCAGATGATGTTGCTACGGTCTTTTATCTGAACAAGCAAGGCGGGACAAAGTCACCAACTCTGGCCAGACTAGCGGTGCAAATCTGGGAATGGTGCATCCCAAGAGACATTACTCCAATGGCAGTACATCTTGCCGGTACGGACAATGTGGAAGCCAATCGTCTGAGCAGACACATGTCCACATCTCACGAATGGGAACTAGACCCCCAGACATGCGACCACCTCTTCCATCGCTGGGGCTTCCCCGACATAGACTTATTCACCACCCGACAGAACAGGGTGTGCAACACTTTTTGCTCGAGAGTGGGAATCAGACACGGATCATTAGGGGACGCCTTCATGATCCCTTGGAACAATCTGAATTTTTATACTTTCCCTCTGATTCCCCTCATTATTTTATTTATTTATTTATTTATTTATTCGATTTATATCCTGCCTTTTTCCTGCAAAGGGCTCAAGGCAGCTTACATCTCCTCCTCCATCTTATCCCCACAACAACAACCCTGTGAGGTAGGTTGGGCTGAGAGTCTGTGGCTGGCCCAAAGTCACCCAGTTGGCTCCATGGCCGAGCGGGGACTCGAACCCAGGTCGTCTGAGTCCCAGTCCCATGCTCTTAACCACTGCACCACACTGGCTCTTGATCGAAGATAATCCACGACGGGGCCACAGGACTGCTGATAACCCCTTGGTGGCCACGCCAAGCCTGGTTTTCTATGCTTCTTCACATCTTTCAAGAGGAATATCTCAATTTTCCACTCATTCCGTATCTCATAACCCAGCGAGAAGGCACAATTCGCCATCCAGATTGAATGTCGCTGAAATTGACAGCCTGGCGAATCCGATAACAGTTGACACTGCCTCGGTACTGACAGCATCTACACGTGATTCGGATCCTGTCTCCGGATCCGATGCATTGCTCCACACTTCGAATCCATTCGTCTTCCCCACGTCATCGGATCCAATGAACATCCTGTCGGATCCAACAACTTTTCACCCGGACATTCAGCACATTCTTGATTATGCGTTAAAGCTGTCAACACGGAAGTCATACACAGCTAAGTGGCGACGATTTTCTACCTTTGCCGAGTCTCATTCATTTCTTCCACACACAGCATCTATACATCAAATCCTTCAGTTCCTATTAGAACTTCACCATTCCGGACTGAAGCCGTCTTCTATAAAAGTGTACACGGCAGCAATTTCCTATTACCGTGGCACAGTTCAAGGTTCATCTATTTTCTCTCAACCACTTATAAAGAGATTCCTTAAGGGACTTTATAACCGTAACCCGATGGTCAGACTAGTGATGCCTACCTGGAGTCTTTCTGTGGTCTTACAAGCGCTTACAAGAGCTCCTTTTGAACCCTTAGCAACAATCGATTTATGTCTTGTTTCTTGGAAAACGCTGTTCCTTGTAGCAGTAACATCAGCTCGATGAGCTAGTGAGCTCTGTGCTCTGCGGGTAGATCCTCCATATTTAAATTTCCACAGAGAGAAAGTTCTCTTGAGAATGGACCCATCCTTTCTTCCCAAGGTGGCCACCTCCTTTCACACAGGGCAAGACATTGTCTTTCCGTCCCCGACAAATTCGCTAGAGAGATCCTTACACACACTTGACGTATGGCGCTGCCTGGCCTTTTACAGATCAAGGACTGAGTCTATTCGACATTCCAACAAGCTCTTTGTCAAATACTATGAGCAAAATCATGGTCTTCCAGTTTCTCCTCAAAGACTTTCCAAGTGGATAGTTCATACAATTACTCTATCCTATCAGCTGGCTAGGATTGACTTACCTACTATTCCAATGGGTCATTTTATTAGAGCTGTCGCTGCTTCTTCTGTCTTCATGTCGGGAGTTCCAGTTGATGACGTCTACAGAGCTGCCACTTGGGCAACTCCGTGTACATTCGCTAAGCATTATTGGCTGGATGTTTGTGCCAGGCAAGACTGCTCCTTTGGCAGAGCCATTCTCGTCTATTCTTTGCTAAGGACACCTCCCCTCCTCCAATAAGGGTAAGCTTGCTAATCTACCCATATGTGTGATGCACAGAGGCCACGACGAAGAAAAGCAGGTTGCTTACCTGTAACTGATGTTCTTTGAGTGGCCATCTGTGCAGTCACACAACCCACCCGCCAGCCCCGCTCGGTGTTGGTGAGTGGAAATATTTTCATTGGTACCGAACCGTTTTTCATTCATGGTACTGATATCATCTTTAGTAGGGACTCCTTTTTTCCACATGGGGGCGAACGTTCAGTCTTCAAAGACTGAACAAAATGGCGGACGCTCCGCTCTATATAAACTATAGGGAGGAGGGGGAGCCGAGCTTCCCGCCAAAACCGTTAGCTTTCAATCTTCTGGCCAAAGGCACTATGCAGGCACAGCACCCATATGTGTGACTGCACAGATGGCCACTCGAAGAACATCAGTTACAGGTAAGCAACCTGCTTTTTCTGCACTATGTATAGACCCACCATACCTAACATTTCACAAGGAAAAAGTTGTCCTTCATGCCAACCTTTCCTTCCTTCCAAAGGTTCTACATGAATCAAGACATTGTGCTATCATCCTGCCCATCACCAACCACAGCCATTGAAAGAACATTCCACACCCTCGAGGTTCATTGAGCACAAGTATTTTATAGGTCCCAAAGCAAGTCTGTTCGCAAAACTAAGCGACTCTTTGTTAACTACTCAGACTATTCCAAAGGAGATTCAGTTGGTTGCAACACCTTGTCCACTGGATCATTGAAACAAACTGTCATACCAACTGTCGAACCTAGACTTGCCCAACTGACCCAGAGCTCGGTCCACAAGAGCAATATCAGCCTCAACAGCTCTCCATGCAGGACTGCTCATAGAAAGCCTCTGCCAGGCTGCAACACGGTCAACACCATCCACATTTGTTCGACATTACCGACTGGACGTCAGAGCATGAGAGGACTGTTCCTTTGGACAGGCTATATTATCCTTGATTCTACAGTAATAACTGAATGTTTGGATGACTTGACTATTAGTACTATTGACTGAATATTTATACAGCATTGACTGGTCAATGGGACATGAAGGAAATCCTTATTCCTGAAATGTATCTACCTCTAATGTGATTGTACCGACAACTCTCACCACCATATGAGATATGCTAACCAATCACCCATAAGTGTGATGCACATGGACCATAACGAAGAAGGGCAGGTTGCATACCTGTAACTGTTGTTCTTTGAGTGGTCATCTGTGCATTCACACAACCCACCTATCGGCTCCTCATCAATGTTGGTGGATGTTTCTCTCTTTTACCTGCTGTTTACATAGTGATAGAACAGTTAGTGACCAATAAAAAGGTAGGCAACCTGACTTTTCATATGTTAGCCTTGGGGCCTACTATCATGTGCATGTCTGTGGTGAGAGCTCACCTTCAAGTCCAAGGGTGAAGGTGTATCCCTGCTGTTGATGGCATCCCCAAGGAAGAGGTGCATGTGAGCTCTGCACCTGACATGTCACGTACTGCAGGACCTCAATCTCAACCTGAATGTAGGGAAATCCCACTTGAAACCAAAGCAAAGTATCCCATTCATAGGGCCAGTTTTGGATTCTGCAGTGAGTCAAGTGTTCCTCCCTCCAATGCGTCTAGATTCACATACTGTGCAGGAGATTTATCCATCTAGAAGGTTACCTGTGACCAACAGTTTTGGACTGTTGGATTGGATAGCTATTGGAGAGCTACTATTGTGATAGTGCCTTTTGCATGCTTGCAGATGAGATAGTTCATGTATCTTGAGAAGCAGCAAGCATACTGGCATGGTCAATAGATGTTTCCCACCTGGGTGTGAGCATCGCATTATTCTAGTCTTCCCTGTCTCAGAATCTTACCACAATTGCATCTCTGTGGGGATGTGGTACTTAATGTGAACCTTTGGAGATGCAGGAACTGTGAACTACTCAGCTTATCACATCAGTTTTTTGGAGTAGCTAGCAGTTGAGAAAACTCTGAGAGTTTTCCCTACCACTTTCAGAGGGCATTGGTTCAGGTAGTTTTTGAAAAGCCATAACTGCTTTCTGTTTGTACAAGAAGGGGATATGAAATCTCTCTGCTGGTCCATATCTGGTTGGTTCATACCCCATCAGATTAGTCTGGTTGCTGTACACGTGGGGCCAAGGGGTCACTCTTTTTATTCCTTGTGGCAGGGCTCTAAAATATTCTCACTTTGGACTACAGTTTTGCTGTTTATCAAATCGTCATGAAATCTTTATCAAATCACATTTCTATATACCTTCTAGTGGTACATTTGATTGAATGGGGCCACCTGCTGTTTGAAGAGAATATGATAGTATATCTATTACAGCAGCAACATTTTTATCATTGCACAATGGAAAAACATGAAATGTCTATCTGCAAAGGCATACTTTGATAAGATGTGTGATAAGATTATAGTTTTTAGCAGCATTTTTTCTTTAAGGGCAAAATACTCTTAGAAGAAAGTATTTTTGGAGTGTGATTACCTTTTATGACATTGTACTAAAACAAATCAGAACTGATATACAGGCCTTATATTAAAAACATTTAATAGCAACTTTATTATTTAACAGCATATTTATTATACTCATATAATATTACATAAGGGGTAATATACCACTCTGGATATTTAAAATGCTTGGTATGTGGCTTTGAAGAGCTAGTGCCTATAAACTGGACCTCTTTATGTATACTGTTTTCTGCAAGCGTTCAGCAGACCTTCCCAGAATTATCAATCACCTTTCTCCATTGTTCATGATTTTGTTTGTGTGCATGTTTCAAAAGATTTGTGGGGAACAGGTAAAGTTGAATCAAATAAGCACAGCTGATTTATGCTTGTGCCCAGTTAACATTCTATGTAAGGTTCATATGAACAAGTCCTAGGAATTACGCATAGACCCTTTAGAAGTAATTAAAGTTAATCTAAACCTTTCTTGAAACATAGACTGCAGCACTGAGGGCAGTTGGCAACATAGTAACTGGTACTGATGAGCAAACACAAGTTGTTCTCAACTGTGATGTCCTCTCCCATTTCCCAAATCTTCTGACACATCCAAAAGAAAAGATAAACAAGGTGAGTAATTGGCTTTTTGTGATTTTGAAATATAATTATAATCTGTCATTTAGAAGTTTTAACTTATGTACTGTACAGCAAGTGGAATGTCTTATTCCCATTCCTAGGAAGGTTTTCAGAATTTATACTGTCCGGGTGCTGCTATCAAAATGAAAGTAAATACTCATTTTCCTTGACTGAGATGATGGCAGAAAGAGATTTATTTTGTAATGTGAGAAGTAAAATACCACTGATATGCTGAATCCTTGTTTTCATTGGCTGGTAATAGCAGTTAACACCTCCTTATGGGAGAGATCAGTTGTGAATATCCCTCCTTTGGGCAAGATAGTCCCTACATAAGTGCAAGATCTCTTGGGTCCATTTCTAGATTTATTTTGTTCCTGTGTTGGGCATGGAGAGCATCTTGATCATCAATAGAGAGAAAAGATGGAGTGTAATCCTGTTAATTCTTCAAGACTTCTCTGCAACATTTGGCATTACACACCATGGTATCCTCCTGGACTGGCTATGTGAATTAGGAGTCAGACACTGTGACATAGTTGTTCCACTATGATTTACATGGCTAATTCCAGAAGATAATCTTTGGTGTACTGCTGCTATGAGATTTCACAGGCGTCCATTCTGTCTCTATGACAATTTAAAATCTATATGAAGCCACTGGGGAAGGTCAGTTTGGGTCTAGTGTGAACTTTCATCTGGTAAATCTCATCTCTTCTCTTTCTCATCTAAATCAGGTGGGATGGTAGGAAATCTTAAGTGTCTGAATGTGATAATGGGTTGGATGAAGGACAGTAAACAGAAACTGAGTCTTGATAAGATAGTGGCATTGCAGGTAGATGGTTTCTCGTTTAGGGAGAGAAATTACAAGCTATTTCTGATAGGGTTGCACTCTGTCTTAAAGTTCAGGTTTGTGCTTTAGGACTCCTTGATGTAGCTTTGACACTTGGCTTGTGTACCCTCAGTGGAATACAGTCCTTTCCACCAGCAGAATGTGGCATGCCAGTTACAACCTGTACCTGATAGGAATAATCTGACAGACAGTAATACATGCTCCTGCAGCATTCTGCTTAGATAAGTGTAACATATTTTATGCAGGGCCATCTTTGAAGATAGTTTGGAAGCTGGAACTGGTTCAAAATACAGTGGCCAGGATTTTAATTGGCATGACTTTCTGGGTACATTTCTCACCAGTTCTGAGAGATCTGTGCTGGATACCAATTTATTTCCAAGTTTAATACATTTTTGACCTTTAAAGCCCATCATAGCTGCTTTAAGTACAACCTGCTTTGATATCATACGTGGAAAATCAGGATACCATAGAGCCTTTCCATCTGGAAGCCTTCTACTCAGTAGGCTCCTTGTGCTCTGTTTCTCTTTTCTCTTCCTCTCTATCTCTCTTTCTTCAGCCCCAGTCACAAGAACAAGAGAGAAGGGGAAAGAACTGCAGGCAGCTGCAGATGTGAGTGTGAAGGCCTCACCATGGAATGTAGTCATGAATAATGTTCCAAAGGAAAGTCCTGCTGTAGCATTCCATGGTTAGGATTCTGACCATATCTGTTAATCTGCCTGCTTCCACCTTTGTCTCAATCTTGCTCACTCGCACTCTCCGCCTCTTCTGTCTGCTGGATCATGACAAGGAGAAGAAGTGACAGAAAGTGCTGCAGACAGGTTCTCCTAAGATAGTAAGGGATGTTCAAGTTATGTTTCAAAATAACACACTTTTCCTTAGCATTGAAGTAGTGCTAGCCAAAGAGCTGTGGGGTGAGTCCAATGGGCTGGAGAAACCCATGCATTGTGAGCACCTAGAAATACACTGAGACCCACTGTCACAAGACATACTGCAGTGGATCCAGCAGTTATTTGTTCATGGAATTATTCAGTTGACCTCAGTTCAGGCTCAGTATTGACCTTACTCCAAGCTCAATTTTGTTGTAAAGTTTTCTGGGTTTTATTATTGCATTCCTAAAAGAAAGGTATGTGGACTATGTTAACTGGAGATGATGAGAGTTGTAGGGCAACACATCTGGAAAAGACCAGTTTGAAAAATCTCAACAAATTGCTATAATTCATATTCTGCACATAGAAGTTCCAAAGTTCAGTTCCTGACATCTCTGGTTGATATCTCTTCTGTGTAAAGCAGTTTCATATGCTCATGTACAGTTTTTGTTTTGATTATAGGAAGCAGTTTGGTTTCTTTCCAATATCACTGCAGGAAATCAGCAGCAAGTTCAAGCTGTAATAGATGCTGGACTTATCCCTATGATAATTCACCAGCTGGCTAAGGTCAGTTAAATACCAGAATTGCCCCTTCCTCAATTTTCTGTTAAACTAACATGAGGTCATATGTCTGCAGATGCTACTTTGCTAATGTAAATAAACTTTTCTTTTACCTTTAGGGGGACTTTGGCACACAAAAGGAAGCTGCTTGGGCAATTAGCAACTTAACAATAAGTGGTAGAAAAGATCAGGTGTGTGTATCCTAATTATTCCAAGTAGGAAATTTGGAAGAATTTAAAAGTAAAAACACATATAATTCTAAGCATTTCTTGCTGCTATTTAGGTTGAATACCTTGTGCAGCAGAATGTAATCCCACCATTCTGTAACTTGCTCTCAGTCAAAGATTCTCAAGTCGTGCAGGTGGTTCTGGATGGGCTGAAAAACATTCTAATAATGGCTGGTGATGAGGCAAGCACAATAGCGGAAATTATAGAAGAATGTGGAGGTAAGATGTCATTTGGTAAAGTAAGGTATAATATGCATGGGATTTAATTTTTCCTTCCCTAACAAAACCTATGATGCAACAATTGGCACACTGACCTGGTTTGTAACTAATAGTTCCTTTCAACAGAATTTGTGGGTTAACTGACACATGTTTTGCAGATATGCATACTTTGTGTGAGTCATTTCCAGTTTCCAGCAAGAATGTACAAATACCCTAATTTCACAAGTTAACCCAAGAACAAATCATGAATTAACCCAAGAACAATTCATAATTTGACTTTGAGTTGTTAAACCACAAACATTCCAAAGTACCTTATTTTGGATGTCTCAGTAACAAACCTCTGAGTGCAGCATTCATAGGTTGTTACTAGAAATTGTCAGTAGTCCATGTCCCCACAATTTATGGGTTAATTAACCCATGATCTGCTACCAAATACTGCTGTTACATGCATGTGATACTTAACCTGTATTCCCATTTTGGAAGTAGAAGTTTTCTTTTTTGATTATTTTGTTGTTATTAGATCACATTCTGGTGATTATTAGGCCTTTGGTGATCATTCTTCTGTACTGGAGTAGTGGGTGGATCTATTAGAATAGTCAGCTCCTCCAGGCTGATGGATCTGGATTAATTCTATAAAACTCAGGGGAAATTTCTAGGCATATCTGCTGCTTCTGTCAAATCCCTACTTCTGCATTATATGTGGATGACTTGGATGCTAACACAATTCCCACATTCCTTCTTCCATAAAGTCAAGTTCATTTGGTCCTTTGATATACTAGGAAGCTAGAATTGTTGAAGCAGTTGGAATGTTAACTGGTAGTAAATCGATAATGAATCCAACTGAACAAAGTTAAAATGTACTCCCTTGATTATGGGGATAAATAACAATATTTCACCATGATACAGTGCTGTCTAGCAGAGGTTATTCTGATGTAAGGCCTTCTCTAGCTTAATTTGGAACGTGATTTTAAGGATCCCTCAAAGGTTTCTTGAAGCTTTCTTTGCTAAGAATTTCAAAGTTAAAACTATTCACATCTGTCTTGAATATTACTAGTTTTTCAATAATTCAATGGGTCTGTCTAGAGCATTGTCTGGAATTATTTTATTGATAAAATTCTGTTTGTTGAGGCCAGAGGGTGTTAAGAAGAGGCTTGAAGGATAGTGGACAGCAACCTATTTGCCCAGCTCTTGTACCTCTTGAATTCTAACATCTAGCAGACCTCCTGGGAGTAGCAGGAGCTTTGAAAGAGACAGTTGTGAGGCCAGAATATCCTGCTCTTAGTCAGAAATTTGTTTGAATGATCTGTCATTCACAAATACTCTCTTTCTGTGCAAGGTGCTTTAGTTAGGGTGGCCATATGATCTCTCTGGATACATGTGAGATGGAAGTAGTCTTGGTTGCCATGGTAGACGATAGATAGCAGAGACTGAATTGGAAAAGTGCTTCCCAGTTTCTTCTGCTGGAACTCTTGGTAATTTCTCATACCATTAACCATGCCATACATCAACGTACTGAAAGAGCAAGTTGACAAGGCACAAGGTTGCACTGATTTTGGTTCTTTCTGGATGGACAGCTTCAGAAGGTTGTGCCAGATGACATCTTTTTAACAGTTTGACTGCCGGCTTAGAGCTGTGCTAAGCAACTCTTTTGAGCACATCTGGTATTGTGAAAAACTGCCATGTGAACCACCAAAAATGACTGTCATAGGAGACATGACTAGTCATAGACAACTGCCATGATACATTAAACTCCTGCTCTGAGCCCATAATTTTCCATACCATTTTTTCCTGTTCTTTTATTTGGTGACTGAATGTGCAGCAGGGGAGAGCATCAGTGTGAAGCTGCCTGCCACCTTCAGTTCCATTATAGTTGTTCATAAGAAATTAAGATGGCAGCAACAGGAGAATCTCACTTTGATTAGAAGTGGTTTGAACTACCAGTAAGAAAATGTATTAATTAAACAAACAAAAAAAGAAGGGGTAGGGTACTTTGCTGAGTATCAAAAAAAAGTCTTCAGGGTGCATTGGGATCTTATTATTTGAAAACCTTACCAGAGTGAAGTAATCCCTCTAAAGGTATACAGAATAAAATCTTAGCATGACTACATAATAAAAAATGTTGGCATAGGATTGTATCCAAAGGTACATGTGATTCTGCTCTCTAGTAGCTGCTCCACACACAATGTAGGGTATTGCTCTGAAGGGCCCTTGCTGTCATTTGTGGTTATTTTAAGGAGAGCTGCTGCCAGAATAGTGCAGCTTGAACCGCATGGAGCATGAGCATGATCCAACTCACACTGTCTGGATCCAAACATAGTAGCTGAACACACATTTCCTTGCAATGATACATGGAAGGCTACCTCTCCTGCATATGACTTGTTCTAGTTGTTTTGGGGAAGAATGTTGGCAGGGTATGGATGAGATTTGATGTTTTTACCTCAAGTACAGGAGGTAAGCCAGTCAGGCCCAAAACACAAAGTTGCAGGTATGCTTTTCTCACTCTCATATACAAGATATTATTTATTTCATTTCTGTACTGCCCAATATTTCTGGGCAGTTTACAGTAGTTAAAACAACACAAAATTGTACAGAAACTCTGGGGAAGAGTAACTGTGCCATATATGAATTCTTGAATCTAAAGGAAACAAAAGCCAAGTGTAGCCAAATGTGTACCCTGGAAAGCCAATTTTAATAAGGAAAGTCCCATGGCAAGTTACTTGAAGGAGAAAAGGAGTCCAAGATAGGTGGAAATCTTTAAAAGGGGAGATTGTAAAGGTAAAATTACAAACAAGTTGAAAGGGTGAAAGACAACAGAAGAAACCCATGTGGCTTCACGAAAAGCTTGGAGGAGATCAGCTACTTAGTATGGATTAACAGATGACAAGCCTGAAGTGTTTAATTCCTGCATTACCTCAGTCTTCTCCCAAAAGATCTATGACCTCCCTTTTTTTTTTTTTGCAGTACTTTTTTATTAAATTTTAAAACAGTACTAAAACATCAGTCATCACAAACATCGGAACTACTGAGTCAGCCCCTTACTACATATCTTTTAACATTCTGTAATCATATTCAGATCCATTTATGGAATCTTAAAAAACATTTTTAGATCTAAACCAAGTCCTGTTTCTCCAGCCAATAAAAAAAAAGGTTCCAAATTTGATAGAAGTCACTATCTTCTTTCACCTTCTGTGGTAAGATCAGTCCATCCATTTCTTACGGAGTCCCGTTTTCCTTGACCAATATCGAAAGACTCTCCAAATTTGATAAAATTCAATATCTTCTTTCTTCTTCGATAGTAGCTTCAATCTAACCAACTCTACACAATTCCAGATCTTTTCATTTTTCTAATATTAAACAGATAAACTCCTCATTATAATAGTTACAAATACGATCAAATACATTTTTTGCTTACTAGTATTCCAGTCTAATATCCACTAAAAAGGAAAGTAAAAGAGAAGAAAAGTTCCAAGCTTAAAAAAGAACTAAAGACTTTTAACCCAATTTATGTTCACATATCTAACATCCAGTTAGCATCTTTAAGGACATCTTACCTAATCTATTTAATGACAACAATTATCTATGATATCTTTTAAACAAATTTTCTTTAAGCTAATTTATTAAAGTTTCATCTAGCTTACACTTCATTAAATCACATACAATTAACTCCTTATAAGAGTCCAGCTCCTTACAATCTTTAATATATCTCACTTGTAAAAAGAAATTACTTAGTACAGCTCCTCCTACTCCCATAATAGTCATTTTCTAGTATAGCAATTCAAAGACAAAAGAGTCATGCAACTTAGCTTTTGGTCATTCATTTTTAAGATAAAGAAAGAAAGAAAAAGAAAAGAATCTCTCATTTTCCCTTATATCACCCACAAAGGAGAGAGAAAAAAGGGGGGGGGGACTCCACTCCTATTCTTCTCCTTCTTAGTATAGTTTAAATCTTATCTTATAATCTCTTCATAATTCAACACATTTAAATGTAGAAAAGCTTCCACAGTTAAAATCATATACCTTAGCCTTTCCATACCACAATAAACATGCCAACCCATTTATACCATTCCTTTTTAAGATTTCTTTTTTATACCTCTTCCATACCGCTTTTGTTTTAATAGGGTTTGTTGAAAATCAGTATTTTTAAACTTTATATCTCCAGCCCATCTTTCTCCCCTTGGTGTTATTTGTTGAAAATCAACCCACTTCAAAGTCTGTATTTCAATCTTCACTATTTCTTGCTTTATCTTAAGTGATTGTAGCATTTGTTGTAGGTCAGTATTTATTCCCAATGGCTGTGTTTTTTGCTGCAAATCAACCTCCACTGTTTCTTCTTCCTCAGAATCAATTTTAGTTAATTCAGGATCCATCCATCCTTCAAAAAAAAATATTCCTTCCTTTAGTGGCCAAATTTGTTTCTTTTTAGCCACAGTTTCAAATTTTTCAAATTTTTCATATACTTGTTGCATTTCTTGTATATTCTGTTCGGTTTTGGATTCTACATTACTCACCATCTCCTTAAAAGAAGCATCAAGCTTATCAAAGTGCTTTTTTTGTACAATTGAGAAGATTTCCTGTTGTCTCAACATCACCTCTTGGGATATTTGTAAAGTTGTTAAAGATTATTGTATTTCCAAAAAAAATCTCTTCAGCTCTTCCATCATTGCAATAATTCCAATAGCCACAAAGTGGCAGACAAGATCAGTTCCACTTTTCTTTTCTCTGGATCAATAGCGGTCAGAAGGTTGGCAGGTTGCCAAATACTTTGGCAGAGGTCCCAGAAACGCAGGAGAGGAAATGGAGATTCTTATATCCCTCCTCTTTTCTCCCTTTTCTCTTTTTTTTAATGCCAATTAACAACAGATATAGTTTTTCCACAAGTAGTATTGCAAAAGGAAAAAAGGAATGCTCACCCAGTCATCACATTAAAGAAGAAAGCATCAGACAATGTGAAAAATATCCTGGCGAGTGTCCAGTTGATCTTGGCAGAAGTCCAAACAGAT